TGAACTTTGCATTAAATGATATAAAGTCATACAATATGTAACTGATTGGTGATTCTTTTTAAAACATTTTATACTTATACGCTGTATCTTTTAGGATTCAAATGTCGATAATTGGGTTAATCAAATCAAGGTTTCGTAACTCATGACATCCCGGTATATCTAATCAGCCTGATAAATACGTCATTATAAAATGAATTACATCAACTACGTGGTGTAATTTTACTCTGTCAAAATGTTTAAAAAACCGTTCTGATTCTCTTGATTTAAAATCCATGAATTATTATTATTTCGGAGAATTGATAGCTGGTAGTTTAAGAATTCTTGGAACTTATCTTTATATTTCAAAGATATTGTGTCATATTGATGTGATCGACATATAACTTACGAGTAACGTAACGGCGGACCTGATAAGTAAAGATTGATGTATCGATTTATTGAACATCAATAAGAAGGTGAAAGTAGTGCATTCCATTATATCGTAGGAGCCACCATAACTCTGTGTATCGATTCACTTGGAAAACATGCCGCATGGAGATTCGAAAAAGTATTGACAAAGACACTTAAAAAGATAAAAAAGTTAAATAAGGATATCGCTGTCACCCATACAGAACTATACCAGCTTATCTAAAAAGAAATGCAGAAAAGGGAACCAATAAACCCCCTATACCTGAGATATTTCTCTCGCCGAGGAAAAACTCTAAAATGAAACAATCGATTGAAGTAAACCTGTATACCACCGATAGCAATACGTGTACAAATGTATCTGCATGTTAAAAATATAATCTCTGTAAATAACCCTTATTTACAGGTTTTTATAATGCAGTCGTAACTGGCCAACAATAAAGGGGCATGCGTACAAGAGCACATATCATTTATTCTGCACTACACAGGAATTTTGACAGGAGGACACTTGACGATCACACCCGATCAAGCTAGAGGTTATCACAGACACAGTTGTCAATATATAACACAGTTGTATAATACCACATGGTTATCATACAGAACCAGGTCACTTGGTAGTCAACACAGTTATCGAAAAAACATAAATGTATGATTATGAACATATAAATAATCTGTTGGATGAGGCAACACAGTGATAACACAAAATCGGGTACAGTAAAAATACCGCAGTTTTGATTTGATGAGTAGGAGGTGCTCCACAGGTGCACACTTTACAAATTTTCCTATTTCTTATTTTTGATATGTGACAGGGGAGACAATTCTTTCTACTTTTCTACCAATCAACTTTTTTTTCCTTTTATAATTATAAAAAGTATTTAAATAGATATGTTGTACGTTATGTGTATATGTATGTTTCCCACTATAGTGAAGGATTTATTATGGGCTCCACAGACGCAAAATGTCTATAACCCACGTGTTAATATTAAACAAATCGATACGGCATCCAGTGATTAGTGAAACATTTGGTAATCGTTATTGATAAAGAGTATGTGTTATTAACGTTGATATAAGATAAATTCTAGATACTAAACATGTAGCCCTTATCACATACACAGCGACCATCTACTTTTTATAAAATATGTTTGACTCAACAAACCCGTAAACAACTAAAATTTCGTATAACAATACGACATACCAGCTGCTTCTCGGCTCGGCTAGGGATCATTTCTTTTTAGCTCATTCGAAAAAAACTAGATATATAAACAAATCTTTTATTTATTTTACAACAATTTTGAAACAAAAAGGTTTTTGATGTTGGTCGAGAAGATGCATGTGATCAGGCAGTTGACCCACACCTTTTAAAGCCCGATTGAGAGGTTGAAACCTGGCCGTGTTAGTCAAAGTATTCACTGCATCAGGCTAGTAAACCAGAGGTTACAGGTTCGAGCTCTGGTGGAGACTTTGGAACTGATTAATTTTGAGTGAGAAAATCAGTCTACGCAATTATAACACATCGCCCGACGTACAATTACAATATTCACGCAAAGTACCTTATTTATATTTTATCTTACATAGAGGGATGAATAGTACATAACATACTGTAATGTACGTACATGAAACAAGCTAGCGCGTTATCAACTGCTCCAGCAAATCATCCCAATCGAGGATAGCAAGCTAACGTGTGTGATTGGTATGAGTATGAGTAAAGTGAACGACATTGACCTTGTACTGATTGATACCGGCTTAGTAATCGGAAAAGAAATAGACATTCTCGGTATATGCTTTAAATATAGCTGTTCATAGATACAGTTATCTTTACTGATGATAGACAGTCGAAACCGTATGTTGATAATAGTATTTTGAACCTAAATGGTGAAACCAGATGAAAGATAGGGTCATTTAATATTTCTAATTAAAGTTGACCTCTTTTGATGACATTGGTGTACATTTTTGTCTTCTTTTTTTTACATCACATCACACTGCCAGTATGTTATTCATTTTCAACCTAGGGGCCGGAAGGCCTACGGAATGACCAACATTGAACATTGATGATCTCGGCTTACAAAAACAAAACATTTACTGGTATTTGCTATCTTTAAAGCTGTTTGTATCGCAGGACAAGCCTCAGTTTAGTACTCACGAAATAAAAACAGGTAAAACCGGAACAAAGACAAATATATACATAAAAATGCATTTACATAAGCAAAACTAAATAAATAACTTACAAGTATTTACACTCAGTATAACTCTCACTACTTTTCCTACATTAGTTTATGTAAATAGCTACAATATCTTCCCATCTGGGACTATAAGCCCGATAAACCAGATTCCAAGTATACGTAGCTGACTACCAGCAATAACAGCGCCCTGTGTAAGATACAACAAACGGTTCCACGAACCCGATAATTAGCAATCTTCTCTTTAGTGACTTTGTTACAAAGTGACCAGGCTACCAGTACATCCATGCCTTCCTTTGTAATCACATTTTCCAACAGCTGACTTTGACCCTGGTATCTCTATGTGAGGTTTGGTCGGTCCTGATGCTGAAGATCTGGTGTCATCATTGCTAGCCTACATAATTATTCCTGGCCGTCTGCCCATAATATGAAGCTACAGAAATAAACGCACATTTTGTTTATTTTGCTTCAGCGCGCACCCACACTAGAACAGACACAATGACTACTTGGGGTTTTCTCTACAAATTATACAGTATCACGGTTACTAAGTGCAATTATTTTTTTATAACAATTAAATTACTGATACATTCTCTGACAATAGTTATACAATAAATGTTACTAATTTTTTTACTATGATTTACAACGTTACATGCATATAAACACATGCCTTCAATAATACAAATAGTCACGCATGAATGGCCGCATCGATAGATACGTGTCCATACCGGTAATACGGTCACAATGCATGTTACTGACACAGTTTATTTGTCTATCTTTACTGATTGAAAGCCGTAGTTACCGTCAGATAATCGTCATATCAATTGTAGCGTTCTATGGTGTCACAGTTAAAAGGTAAGGCTATTTCATATATTTGTATTAGCGTTTATTTTGTTATGCTTATGTTTTGACTTTCTTATACATATTGGTATATTTTAACGCATTATTAGAAGAATGTGTCTATCATAATTTTCTTTCACTTACTATTTTAGGGTTGCTTTTTTCACTAGTCCTAGAAAAAATAATAACATCGATTCAAACGTTTCAGCCAGCCAACGTAAGATTATTGGTTGTTTAAATATCCTTTTGTTCGTCGTCTTTCCTTTTACTGTACGTGCTATATCCATTTCTCATAAAGGACTGGAGAGATTTTTATATTATTTTATTAGTAAGTCTCACCTGGTCCCTTCATGCAGACTGATAAAAATCAACCTGTCTTTGGGTTTGACATTTAATATCATTTATGAGAAAGTACTGAACTCTCAATGCAGGTTCATCTTATCTGGTTCCTTGTTGTAATTTTTTCCTGCTTTTCAATATATATTTTTATTAAATAAGTATGCTAGTACATAGGTCGAACGACGGTTACCCTTTTAAAGGACGTTATCAACAATATCAAAAACAGCAGGTTGAAGAGTTGATGAACTGTTTTACAAAATAAAGTTACTGTTGAAATAACTCTACCCAAACAATAAGAGAAAATGATCAAAGTAGAATTTGCATGTCTCCAAAAATGCTTTAGAATAATTTGTATTAATGGATATGAAATAAACACCAAAACAATGTTTATATTAAAGCCATTTTGTTTTTGTTTTTGCGACATAGATCCCATAAAAGGCATTTAATTAACTCTGGAACTGTTTTAATTGTAATCGTTGGCCGATTTTCACCATCTATGCAACACCTTAACGTAGAACCAATGACGATTTTAAATTGGGGTTTGCCAGTGACATTTTATTGTAAACTATCTGTTTACATCTTACATCTTACATCAATAATCAAATACATGTATATATAACTTCGATATTTTGTTAAAATAACACTTCATGTAATGATCAATCATCTTTAATTTAACTTGTTTGAATATCAAACACTATCAATTGATATTTCATATGTATACACGTACGTTATATATACTTTGGAGAAAGGTTTGTGTTTCCGATCAAGGGCATACTATGATAGTGCGTTATCATAACACTGACTATGTTTAATCTAGAATATACTTTGTAATTGTTTGTACAGTTGAAAACCGGTGCATTCCGCGATATCACTTGTAACTTTTAGTAGCTTTAATATTTATATGTTTAACGATTGTCGGGTGATATTTTATCGTTGTTTATCTTGCTGTCCTCATTTGGGTGCGTTTGAAGTGTATCTACCCTTTCAGATTATATAAACTTTCTAGATAATGTTGTGATAAAATGTGAAGGTTTTTGATATTGTTATGACATTATATGATAAGATATCTTTCGATATATCATCAGAAAAACCAATATACAATCTGAGATTAATAATTATAATTCGCATGACATAAAAATACTGCTTCAAAGTACACACGATTAACAATTTAAATATCACGTTGATAACGTCTGATTTCAAATGTAACGTACTTAGCATTCTGATGAAACTTTGATTTCTTTACGAAATATGTTCATTCTGACACGTTTAACGTGAAATATAAGTTGAAGAATAACATGTCTTTTACAGCGTAATTGTAATCTTGTAATTTTATAACATGTCGTATAGGCCCCTCCTATGTTATTTCATACATTTGTTTCTTCTTACTACAGACATGGAATTTTAATCTGTTGACCTTTAGTGTCACTTATGAGCCTGAAAGGGACACAATTCTTTGCGGCATTGTTTATTTTTATTTTTTTAGCATCGACTTAGGTTCGTATTGCTACTGATTATTACGTCATAAATTGCTAAACTATAAATTCCCGAGATTGACCAGATTTTAACATATATAATTTGTATTAGTACGGTTTATTTAAAATATTTGTATAAGAAAAATGACCTGCTGCAGCGAAAAACACTTTTCTACTGACCGTCTTAGGCTAGTATCTGGTTAGTAATGAAGTGTTGACCGCCAGCTAGACATGTTGCAATTATCAGGTAAGTATGTGGCTATGTGGCAACCACAGGAAAAAAACGTTATATAAACGTTCGATATCTTTCAGAACTATACAGTCATGGCTCTTTACTTGTTTAACCATAGGAACTACTAAGGAATCCTAAATGAACAAAACTGCTAAGAGTTGCACCAAAATTTTGACATTGTTCTGTTTTTCGGTATCGACAAACACAAATTGGGATAGGTGCTTCCTTCCTCCCAGTTCTTACTTATTTAACTGTTTTATCGAAAACCTCTTGAAAATATATATTTTGCTTTTTGATAATATTTTTACAGAAAATGGAAAGTCCGAACGTTGTAAAAAGTAAGTAAATGCTGTTTTGATTAACACTAGGCAATCCCCACCATGTTTAAATGGCGTTATATCGTTAGAATGTGTGACATAGTAGTTGTTCTTACTGAATACTGTAAAATAACAATAAAAAACGGCACAATGAAACTATTTGGCAATGGTAAACGGGCTCAATACGGGAGATGTAGTAGATTCTTTAATATTCATCTTCTTCTGTAGGAATGACAGCATACTGTCAAAATTTGGTCAGAAGCATGATTGGGTGAAGAAGACTTAATGCCTTTGTTCTTCGCCTTTTGAACAATTTTATGAAATATTTACCCATATGACTTGTATTGCATTGACACTATATACCCTCAAAGTGTAACTGACATTCATATGACATCTGAATGGAATGTTCCGATTGTTGATATCATTAACAATAGATAACACTGAATAGCCCCTCAAGATTGACGTTCTAGTAACTTATCAAGCATCTACGACCAAATGCTGATGATTCAAAATGCTGAAGTGGCGTATGATTTCGTGAACGTCAGATCTTTTGTATACATGTACTTACGAAGCATATCATGCCAATTTTAATAAATAACTCTAAGTATCTGTGTAAAGTAATTTATGAGGCAAGGACCAGTAAAAAAACCCGATAAGGTTAGAAGAGAACTATTAATCAAAATTGACTAAAAGATATTAATGAATAAGTTAATATGTATATATTTCTTTCAATCTTCTTAACATACAAATCTGATGCAAATATAGTTAAGAAACACTTAATACCCAAAATACTAAAGATAGTAATTATTATCCACTAAAAAAGTCTGATTACTTTGTTGAATAATCTGATGATCAAAATGAAGAAATGAAAATAAAATCAAGATGCATACGTTATTGATGAGTAACGAATTAAAGCAGAAAAAGTCAATCCATAATTCGGAACCGAAATTAATAGAAAATTATAATCTTAACATAAACAATTATTTTATGTTCATATGAAAACATCCTCATTTCTTTAATCATTTTTATTTCTTTGTGTCTTATTTACAGCAACAGCCTTGCACCGAAGCAAACTATCCATTTGAGGCACTTTAATCCTTTTATGTTTCACTGCACAACGTTTAAACTGGAAGTTAAATCAGTACTTGCATACTTAACAATAGGTACACATTTATATTGTCATCAGTTATTATCACTGTTCAAACATGATACACTCTGGGTCAGATTGGGCCACAATATAATTATCTTAACACCTAAAAACATTTTTTTGAAATAAGGATCTTAAAAATAAGCAGAATTACAGTGGTTTCAATTTATCAAAGTATGCACCAATCCTTCTGTTTTAACAGTAGCTTGGATCAGTTTGAATTTCCATCTTTTTGGCCACTTACATCCCTGATGAGTCCTAGAAGCTGTATGGCGCGTGAAGTTCAATATTGACGAAGTCTACTTTTTACTTATTTACAGATGTAGTTATATTTGTGTGTTTGTCTACTGTACATGCTCTCTATACTTATATATCCTTATACTTACTTATGCTTATTTTTGAATTTGAGGTGTATCCTTTTTTTATTTTAATATTCGTTTTGTGATCCTGATTGTTTGTCCGATCATATATGTACTACAGCACTCCTACCTTAATTAGTGCGATCAGGGGGCTATGTATGGTGATATAAAGCTTTCATCTTTAATTTTAAATTATTTAAATGAGATGTAAATAAAAACTATGTTTGCTTTTGTCTTGTCATCAACACTATTATAATAATTATAGTTTTCATTTACCATTATTTACATAATTTAGAAACTGAAATGATAAAGACACTTTGTGCCTCAGGTTTACGATCTGAATTCAGTATTGCCAACCCCCTCCATTATTTATCGATCAAACAGAACACAAATATATGTTAATGGCTGAATCGCTTGTTAATTAGATGTTTGATTTTAGACTGTTAACAAAATACAAAGTATCTTTCAATTCAGTCAATTAACTCTTTTTAGCTATCAATGCATTATCAAAATATAGCAAAACTTATCATAAAGTAAAAGACTGTCTTTGTATTTCTGTTATACTGCTATTTTTTGTTATGTGCACATGCAATGCATTTTACGATAGATGTCTTATATCACCTATTAAAATGCTTGCACTATCAGAAGTAATCTGTGTATCTGAAGGTGCGAGGTAATCGGATGTTTAAAGCTTGTATATTATAAACATTGTGTATGCTGGGTATGCTTTTTGAAAAAAAGCAATATATTGAAAGCTGAACTCTTATTTCTTAAAAAAATCAAGTAACTGTTGTTTTCAAAAGAGTACGTAAAGATGGTTTAAATAATTCTTGAGAACAGTTTTATTGTTTTGTTTCGTATCAGCATGAAATAAGTTTATATTGTGATGTAGCTTGTCCATATAATTTACATCACATTCATTAGCATGGTATCAATCTGATTGTATCCAATACGATAAAACAAAATGTGTTTCTCCTGTTTTCGTATGCAGGGCCGGTAGTGGAGAATACTACGAGGCTGTGGAACGAGAATATATCTAAGAACAACCCTTTAGGACTGATTAAACAAGTGGCACAAACTGCATGTTCGTTGCTTTACCGATCGATTTCATATGAACAATCCCAATCATGTTTTAGTGAAGGTTTAGATGAAGTTACCTTGAAACAAGTAAGTCGGTCAAGCTTTGTTCCTTAATGCATATGCGTTTTGTTTATGATCTTTTGCATTTGTTGCACACCCATTATTTACTCAAACTTTTAAAACATCACTGTACTAATGATTTAAATAACAAACACAAACCTCATATTGAATCTGTTAATATGTTCAAGAGTTGAAAGAATGACTTTGCATATTTGTATATCAACTGATTAAGGAAAATATTGTTGTCCCGTATTGAAATATTAATAATAATAATAA